GTGAAGGATATCTCGATGAGGTTGATTGAGGTGGGAAGACCTACCCTAAATGTGGGCAGCATCATTTCGTGGGCTGGAGGTCAGGACTGAATGAAAAGGAGAGGGAGCATAGCATTCCTCTGTGGCTGCATTGCGATGCTCCTCCTGCCATGATGGACTGACTGGCCTTAACTGTGAGCCAAAACAAACCCTTCCTTGTTTACATGGCTTTCCTCAGGCATTTTGTCACAGCAACAAGACAAGTCAATAACACAGCCACCACATCAGGCTAATACAGGTTTCTAATGAAATATCTTACATTCCTTTTTCATGCCAATTCTCTAGAACTGGGTACGTGTATTCCTCATAGCACATGCTAAGCAGCCACCATGGCTGAGGACTGTTGTGTTAGAAAGAGGAGCCTTCCACAACCTCCACTTGCCTCTCTCCGCTTCTGTCTTTCTAACCTTTATTCCTGGCCTCATTATTGTCCTTCAGTGGGCTTGCTTGTGCCCGTCTTTCTGTGCTAGAGACAGTCTTTGCTTCCCTGTGGTTTGGTCTATGCCTGTGTGCGTGGATTCTCTTCTCTCCCGGCTGTTTGAAATCGGCGACTGTTCCCTGAGTGCCTTTCCTTCTCTGTAAGCTCTCAGGAACTGGACTCCTATGGCATCTTACTTGTGGACCAGTCTGTTCCCTACACGTGTTCCGGAAGGACAGGGATGGGAGTGTCCTCACTTCTGCAACCTCACCCACTTAGACTGGGGTCTGACCTCGAGCTGCGACTTAGTAAGCTTTAACAATTGAACAAACAAATTATTTTTGAAGCCCTCCCTGGCCCTGTTTGCCCACCTCTATTTTGTCTCTGATGGTGCAATCAGGCAACTTTCCTTATTTTTTGTTTTCATTATTTTCAGTGGGGGGGAAAAAGTATGGGCAGGATTTTAAACCGATTCCACAGCTTTTCTTTTTCCCAGCAGCCCTTTCTGTAATCACCATTCAGATTGTCTGACTACATCGACTCATGTCTGAAAAGCCTGTGGGATCCTTTTAGAGGCTTGGCTACTCGGCTGCCTAATTTGTACTGTCTGGTGTTTTGTCCAAGTGAGTTGCTTCTCTTCTTCCCTCATGCCTGCCTCTGCTCTGTCTGAGCTCCTGTGTAGTCAGGTCTGTTGACCTCATCATGGTCACCCATGACTGATGCTGCCAAGTCCAGGAGGTTTCACATTTTAAAACAAAGTTGTTGCTGTTCCCTCAGAGATACACCCCTGTATATAAAAATGGGACTGCTCTGATTGAAACAAGTTAGAGATACTCCAGGGCACCACAGAACATGGTTTAAGAGCCACAAGTCTTGTTAACTCCTTCTCAGAACAAATGGGAAAACAGGCCTAGAGAAGTGAGACCGTGTGCCCAGTGCAAGCACCATGCTAAGCAGCAGGATCTGGACCAGAACCCGGGTTTCCTTTCCAGGTCACTGCTTTCCTAACCACAATTTACTGCTTGGAGCTTCATTTCCCAAGGGGAGGAAGCAGGAACAATGAGTCTTTTATTGTACTCCCCCTGATGAAATCTGACAGGGTCTACCTCTCCTTCCCTTGTAGAAGATCAGGTTGGCCCCCTCTTGTTATTGTTTTTCTCTGGGACCCAGGCTGGGGCTTGCCTCAGCCTTTGTTCTGCTCCCAGTGTTTGTGGTGCCAAGAAGGATAGGGAGAGAGCGGATTCAGGCAGGTCAAGGTGGCACAGATGTTTCCTGTCCCTCGGCCAGTCTGGCTGTGTCTTTCAGAACAAGCTGAATGCCATGACCAGGTGTGTTGTCGGGACCTTCCAAGCCCTTGGAGGTGGTAGGTGTTTATAACCACAATTTCCTCATTGCCTTCTGTTTGTCATAGGCCCCTAGCCACTCCCTGAGGGAGTAGATTCCAGCCTGTGTTCTGAGACTCGTCCATCATTCAGAGCTCTCTGTGGTCTCATTGTTTTTAGCCCTGTGTCTTAAGTCCTGCACCCAGTGAGTCTCCCAGGCACTCTGTTCTCTGCCCTTTCCTCCTCGTTCTTGCCATTAAAATCATCCACATCTTTCCAGATCATGCTTTCATTCCACTTCTTTCAGAAGATCTCCATTTCCAGTCTTATGCAATCTCCCTCGGTTGCTTGGTTTACTTTGTAGCCTTCGTCTTCCTTTGTCTCCCTCCCTGTACTTTATGCACAGCATCTGTTCATATCCCCTTGGTTCATATTTCTAGGCTGCTGGCCCAGAATGTCATGCTCTACTTTTTTCCTTTACTTTTGTCTGGCTCAATCCTATTTAAAATTAGGATGGGCTTAGGCATCACTTCTGAAATTGTCCTCCCTTACTCAAGCTTGGTTAGAGTCCTCTCATGATCCAATGCACACCCTGTGTTTTATCTGTGTACTAAAAGTTCAGCGCTCCCAGAGAGATAGCCTGTGCCTTGTCTTTCTGTTTACCATGCAGAAACATCTTACTCATGGCAAGTGCTTAATAAATATTTAAGAGATGAATGAATAATTTGTACTACTATATTTTGAGTTATATTATACATTTTAATAGTTATTTGTCTCCTGGTAGATTAAAACCATGTGAGCATAGAGATGTGGAAGATAATAATCTTTTTGTTCCCCTTAAGGAATTGTTCATAGTAAGTGCATTAGGGTTCTCCAGACAGACAGACACAACAGGATGGATGGATGGGCAGGACTGACAAATCCAACTCCTGTGAAGAAGGCTGCAGACTAGAAGCTCAAACTTGTATTGCAGAAAAGTCTGAAATCTGTTGGGTAGACCAACAGTCTGGGAACTCAGGTGGGTGTTTCTGTTACAGATGTACAGTAGAAGTCTCCCTTTTTCTGGGAAACCTAATTTTTTTCAGTAGTATCTTCAACTAATTAATCTTTATCCATGTTTCCCAGTTAACTCCTCTACTTAATGTCAGTTGATTGTAGATGCTCATCATATCTACAAAATACCTTCACAGCAACATCTAAAGTTTAACGAAGTCATTGGGAACCATAGCCTAGACAAATTGACACATAAAATTTTATCATCACAGCAAGTGACCAACCAATAAATGCTTCTTGAATTAATCTTCCTATCTGCGGTTCAGAAATTTTTCTATTGCTGGCAATCATTTAAACTTAGTAACCTGAAAATCCCCTACCACTGAATTCTAACAAGTCTGAATAAAAAATAATGTTCTTTGAAATCCATGAATGAGTTTGCAAGAAAGTGAGAGCATATCCAGGGGCTGAAAATGAAGGCAGACTGAGTAGAAAGATTAGGAGAGGATATTCTACTTTAGTACCCTCAGTGCTTAGCTTTTAATACTTATACAAGACACAGGAGATGGTGACTTGGGTTGTCACAAGACAAGAGTCTTGGAAACCAAGTCTTTGGAAAAACTGAGACCTTTAATAAAATGGTGGCTAGAAAAAAATATACTCACATTTATACATATACATAAGAAACTTGTCTGTATCAGCTCATGCTCTTAATAGAAAAAATTCTCCCTTTAAAAATTCATAAACACAAGTCTGTTATCACTTGTGTTTATACAGCCTGGGTGATTTGCAGTCCCACAAGTCCAATATTTTTTAACTTAAAAATTATGCCCAGACAGTGATAGCTTAGCAGAAAGTTTGGATCCCCAGAACCCATGTAAATGTGGAGTGCACATGGCAGCTTACTTGCAATTCCAGCCTCATAAGGTAGAGGTGGGATCCCTAGAGCAAGCTGGCTATCGAGAAGAGCCACATAGGCAAGGCAAGCCCTGGGAATGACTGAGAGACCACGCCTCGGTGAACAAGATAGAAAAGCAGTCAAGGAAGACTCCCAAAGTCAACCTGGAGCCTCCTTATGCACCTGCATGCTTCATTGTGCCCTAGTGTATGTACACACACACACACACTATACATATACACATGAAAAGAAAACCAAAATTGTGATGTTGCTGCTTTGTGGACTGAGTCTAGGACCTTGTCAATGTTAGGCCAGTACCTATCACTGAGCTATATCCCCAGCTCTTAAAAGAGTGAATTCTAGTGAAGACAGAATTGGTGAACAAGAAGATAAAGCTGAAATTATGACAAAATGAAGAGAAAAATAGGAAATCAAGATTAAGGTGGAATGAGGATTCTCAGTGTATGTCTAATCATAATTCTAGAAGGAAGGAGACAGTATTCAGAAGCAATGGCTGAAGTTTTTCCAAAACCAGTAAAAGGTATTAGAATGTACATCTGGTTTCAAGGATTCAACAAGGCCACATTTTTACACATGTCACACTGAAACCACAGAATATCAATACAAACGTATGTCTTAAGAGCATCCAAAGACAGAAAAAAAACACTGATGAAGAATCACAATTAGACTATGGTGCAAGGTCAAAATATTGAGAGAAAAAATTAGTCAGTCTAGAACTTCCACTCTGGCTCAGTTAACTTCATTCAAGAATGAGAATATAATAGAGACAGGTAAGGATGTCATGCTGAAATTAATATATAAAAACAATTATCATCAGGAAGTAAATCTAAAAGGAAGTAATAACATGAGAAAGCAATAGTTAACAAAGAAATTGATAAATATATGTAGATCTAAAACAAAAACAAAACTCGGAAAAATCTTGACTGTATGAAGCAACAAAAACAGTAAATTCGGTGAGTATAAAAACAAAATCAGATACAAATATCAAGCAATAATAGTGTGTGACAGAGTGAGAAGGAGAGAAGAGGGGTGACAAGTCCTTTGTTTTTTTCTGAGACAGGGTTTCTCTGTACAGCCTGGAACTCCCTCGGTAGACCAGGCTGGCCCCGAACTCACAGAGATCTGCCTGCCTCTGCCTTCCAAGTGCTGGGATTAAAGGTGTGTGCCACCACCATCCTGTGACAAATCTTAAAGTATTCTAAGATTAGAGAGGAAAGGAGAGCTGCTGCTTAAAGACACCTAGGTAAGCAAGGCATGCATGCATCAGAACTAAAGGGTAAGTATTGGTGAAATTATTAAGGCCACTCCACGTAGTTAAAAGGAGATTTATTTAATGGCGTAACTTACAAATTAGGGAATAGGTAGGTCGCGGAGTCTGGGGAAGGTGTATCACAGTCCAGCGGTGTTCTCTGGAGCTCTGCTCGGTCCACCTCCACTATCCAGGGTCCCGCAACAGAGAGTGCCGCCGATCCAGCTCTCGGGTCCCCAGGCGCCACCCTTGGCCCCACCTTGTAGGCGTGACAGTTGCCGAAGTCTCAATGGGGGTTGGAACTTCCAGATCAAAGCTGGAATGGCTACCCACTACAGGTAAGCACAAAGAAAATAGAAATAAAAGGGTATAATTACTAAACCATTATGAAAAGAAAAGCTGAGAAAGATGAACTCAGCATTACTTATCAAAACAAGCTGAGGAGCCTCAATATCCATCATTGGGAGGATAGATTGGAATATGTTTAAAACATTAAAAAGAAATGAATCATCAGGGCTTTATGTAACACTGTGAATACATGTCAGAAAATGTAACACTGGGTGGGAAAGGTTGATACAGAATAATAAATACCACTTATACAAAGTTTTCTAACAAGCAAGTAAGTATAATATACAGTTTGTAGGTACAGATACATACAGTAAAATTATATGATACATATAGAGAAGTAACCAGCATTAACTCAGAATTGTTATCTCCTATTCAAGAAATCTCAACAGTAGATTTTAATGGTGTATTTCTTTTATAAAAATCTGAAAAGAAAATAAAGAAAAATAGTAAGATTAACAAAGCTGGGTGGTGAATAAATAGGTGTGTGTTCCATCATTCTTTACATATTTCTGTATGCTTGAAAACTTACTTGATTTTGACAAGTAATGAACTTAAATTTGAAGGAAACTGTACCTGGTTGAAAATTCTATACTAATTAGTTAGTTTTTACTCCTCCCACCTTAATGCATGCTATAAAATGGTCTCATAAATTTCAACAACTTCTGCCGACTCTGGTTATAATTCAGGACTTCAAAGAAGTCAACAGATTTGCATTTTTCTAAGGCCATATTTCCCTATGTGATCATTTGCTCAGGGGAAGCTACACTGAATAAGAACTCAGGTTTATCCATCTTCTAATACTTTCTGCCTATTCAAGTCTATCCTGACCATCCAGGAGAGTTTCATTAGATTCTAATTATGGTCTGAGAACTTGGCCTAGCATTTCTGAAGAGGAGGCTTCAGGCTTAGACTGTAGAACTGCACCATATCAGGACTGTTTGAGAGGACAACAGTAGCATAGCCTCAAGAAATGAAGTCTCAAAGGGGCCTGTTTGCTGTTCCCAAATGGTGGGTGGCATGGGTAAGGAAAAGTAGACTAGTCTGTATAGCTAGGTCCGGAACCAAATAGCAAGTTTCATGATGGGGAATTTTAGCCCAGTCTGAAAGTGGAACAGAAAGCAACCCCCAGCCCCATAACTCCCATTGATGGCCATTTCTTATGACTATTGTGCAGTAGGTTTAATGACCTGATTTTAAGTTTCCTACAGGGGAATGTTAGAGATAATTCATTGAGTCCTTAAGACCATCAAGTGAACTTAGCCACATGCAAGGATTGATGATACAAAGGACAAACCTACTTTTGACCTCACGCATGTTTTAGGAAAAATTTCAAAGAACAGAATTTGGAACCTAGGGAATAAATAATATTTTAGAAGATATCTTCTTTCATGAGAGTACTGTCCAACTATTTGCTTTACAGGCCTAGTCTGCAGAAATATGTCTCTTGGTCATTAGCAAACCAAGAAGCTAAGATTTGGCTCCATCCTGCCTACTCAGTTGTCCCACTACCCTGCTACTTCTCTGCCACATGCATATCCTGCATGAAACCATAGCCACACCTGCTTATCAGGACTCTGAGAATTACACTTTCATATTGCAGCACTTTACCAATGCCACTAAGATGCCTTTTCCATATCACATATTGATCTATTTTCATTTTGGAAACTGAATCTATTTATCTATTAAGCAATGGCTCCCCAAATGAACATAATGAGTTTGAGATATTTACCTGATAAGACTGATAAAATAAAGAAAAATTTAAAGTATTTATACAGCTGGGCATTGTGAGATATATCTGTAATCCTAGTACCCAAGGCAGAGGCAGAAGGATCACAGGTTCTAGTCTAGCCTAGTATATATAGTGAGCACCAGTCCATTCGGGGCTATTAGTGAGGCTCTTTCTTTTTAGAAAAGGAAAGTATACATGTGTATGTATACCTGAGCTATAAAAAAAGTGAAAGGTTTAATTTCAAGAGTTTGAGAGTTGTTTATAAGCCTGGCAAAGGAAAGATCTTAAAACCAGGTGTGGTGGCACACACCTACAATCTCAGAACCCCAGTGGTCAAGGTAGGAAGATTGAGGGCTTGAGACCAGCCTGAGATACAAAGTGAGACTCTGCCTTAAAAATAAAAGAAAAAGAAAAAAATTTTTTAAACAACAACACATGCTGATGAGAATTTGGTGAGGGTCAAGGAAGGAGAGGGCAAAACTCTCTTGGTAGTAATGTGAATCAGCCACTGTGAAAGTCACTAGGTAGGACAACTAAAAACAGCTACTATATGATTCAGCTATATCATTCCTGAGTATGCTTGAAGGAATCTAAGTCATATAATAGAGATACCTGTGAATCCAGATTGATGGCAGTCTTAGTTAGACTTTCTATTGCTGTGAAGAGACACTATGACCATGGCAACTCATAAAGGAAAACAGTTAACTGGGGCTGGCTTACAAGTTCAGAGGTTTAGTCCATTATCATCATGGTGGGAGCATGGGGACGAACAGGCAGATATGGTGCTGGAGAGGTAGCTGAGGGTTCTACATTCAGATCAGCAGGCAGCAGGAAGAGAGAGAGAGGGACACTGGACCTGGCTTGAGCACTTGAAACCTCAAAGCCCACCCCCAGTGACACACTTCCTCCAACAAGACCACATCTCCTAATAATGCCTCTCCCTGTCAGCCTATAGGGGCTATTTTCATTGAAAACACCACAGTGGTGTACTATTCACAATAGTCAAATCAGCCTAGATGCCCATCAATGGATAAAGAAATTATGGTGTAAATATATAGTGGTATATACAAGTGTGAAAATGCCATAGTGAATCTACTGCTTTGTTCAATTAATATACACTAATGAAACTTTAAAGTTTGGGATATTTTTTCATTGAAAGCCACTGTAAGAGAAAAAAGAGGATTAGCAGTTTTTAAAGTGGCCTATTAGTCAGAAATGCATCAGAGCATACCTAAAGGTGTTGACTGTCTCTACTAGCATGCGTAAGTAACCTTTTTAAAGCTATGGACTGCTGTGGGATGTTCTGTATGGCAAATGTGTTGCTCTGATTGGTCAATAAATAAAACACTGATTGGCCAGTAGTCAGGCAGGAGGAAGTATAGGCGGGACAAGGAGGAGAATAAAGCTGGGAAGTGGAAGGCTGAGTTAGAGACACTGCTAGCCACCAAGATGACAAACAGCATGTGAAGATGCCAGTAAGCCACGAGTCACGTGGCAAAGTATAGATTAATGGAAATGGATTAATTTAAGATGTAAGAACAGTTAGCAAGAAGCCTTGTATGGCCATACAGTTTGTAACCAATATAAGTCTCTGTGTTTACTTGGTTGGGTCTGACAGCTGTGGAACTGGCAGGTGACAAAGATTTGTCCTGACTGTGGGCAAGGCAGGAAAACTCTAGCTACAATGGACTATTTCAGAAGTCATGTTTCCTTAGTAATAGATGTCCAACTATTAATAGGAGTTGTTATGCTCAATTATTTAATCTAAAATAGCAAATAAATGGAAAACATGCATAAACATGAATATTTTAGAAAATTACTAGTAAGTTCTGAGACTTTTAATGGATACCCTTTATAAGTTCTAGTTGTTGATGTTATTGTTGGTTTTATTTATTTATTTTTAGTACAGTCACTACATAGACCAGGCCTGCCTTGAACTAACAGAGATGGTGTGTGCCACTATACCTGGCTACAAGTTTTTCTTTTTAAGTAATGTCATATATTGGAAGAATTGAAGAATTGTGAAGCAGTAAGTTGGAAGGTGGTGCTCTCTTCCCAACCGTTCTCACAGGAAAATTGAGTGAGGTGAATAAAGAGCTTAACATTGAAACCAGTGCTAACTGCATAGTAAATACTATCCATTATTAATTTTATTGTGCTTAATATACTCTAGTGCATGTGTTCTGGGTAGGTAATCTACTCTGCTTCTGTTAACATCAGTTCATTTTTATTCTTTATGTTAGAGATAGGTGAGACTTTTCCTTTCCCTTACCCAGGGCCTGGCATACAATTAAGCCAATAATAGGTGCCTAATCTAATAGTTTTTTATTGAGTGAGTCAATGAATGAGGATTATCATATTTAAAGGGTTTATAGAATATATTTCATTATAACAGTACTAAATAATCCTCTTCAAATAAATATATCCAGATACTAAGAGGGACTATGTTTTCAGGGTTGGTTTGGTTTTGAAAACTAGTCTTCAGGGCTTGTTGAGTGTGAGGGTTATTTCAGATCATTAGTAGTGGCTGGAAGTAAGGACACATTGACAAAGAGGAAAGCCAGAATGAGGAAAGCCAGAACAATAGCTGGCATGAGCTTCCCGTTACACCAGCATTCCCACAGGATTCACATGGGGTGATCTTGGCCAATTTCCCCCTCTAAGCTTCAGTTTCTCCACCCATGAAAACGAGAAGAGGGCACCCAGATCATGTTCTCCTTTTCCTGTTGTTATACTCAGGTGCATCTGGGAAACAATGGCATGTGTCTTCTAGGACAGTGCCAGGTCTCATTCCAGTCTGCCAGAAGCAGTTGTGAGGACCTATTCTGATGAACAGCATCTCCCCCTGAAGTGGAGCCAGCTGGAAAATTGTGGAATGGAATGTGCCACCTGCACTGGGATTTGAAAACTCCAAGCGTTTTTGCCTTGAGATATGAGGATGTTTTTGCTGAGCTATGCTAGTGAGTGGGCTGACAGTGCCATCCACTGCAGCTTACACTTGGACTGAGAAAGGAGGCTGGAGCCTCCTCTGCTAATGAGAGGGAAGCATGGGAAGAGCGCCCTGATGCTCGCAGTTTACTCTGTGAATCATGCTCTGGTGATTCAGCAGCCCAAGAACCAGCCTCGATGCACTCTGTGATGCTCAGCCTTTTCTGGTCCTGATCTAACAAGCACTGGAACAGGAGTCAGGGCTCAGTTTACCCATCCTATTATTTTATTTAGGTTCTCTGTTCAACTTTGGTGGGTGGTTTGGGG